GAGGGCTGGAAGAGAAACTGCCCACGGTTGCGGCCCCGAGAGGCCCGAGGATTCTTCAAGAGGCCTCCAGGAACGATACATAGGCTGCCACCCAGACCATTCGGAGCTGTTCAGAGGGCTCCCAAGAGAGCACCAAAAGGGGCGCATGAGGCTCACCGAGGAGCAATCCCCCCCTCATGCCCTTCCTCTCCATCTCCCCACCCACGCTTCCACTCCAACAAGTCAAGGTATTCGCCATCACGTCGTCGCCCCTAGCAACGACCTTTTAGCAGCGAAGCGCGCCGTGTCAAGCTCGCTCCCATCACCGACGCGTGGTGGCGACGGTGGAAGCTCCAACGGTGGGGGCGAGCTTGGCGCGGCCCGTCTTGGCCCTAAGAGGTCGTCGCATCTCGGCTCGTTGTCGTGTGGGTCTTGCGGGGGAGCCGTGAGGGGGGGCGATGGTTCGCATTCCAAGCTTCCTCTCGGAATTTGCCAAACGACCTCTCGGCGCTAACGCCATGCCCCAAGAACCCGCCGAGGAAGAGAGAACCAGCCCGAAACGGACATGTTTCGGACGGTGGGGCTTGGCGGCCGAGCAGTCGCAACGTTGGTCCAGTGGTGGGGTTTCAAGTGTGACCGCATGGGGTCACACAGCTACTCGTCCATTGTACTCCGATCACCATTGGCCCCAAACTTTAGCAGCGTCGGCCCCAAACAGTTTGGGCGTGGGCCCCAACCAGTAGCAGCGCGGACCACAAACAGTACGCGCCGCGTGGGCCCCAAACAGTGCAACAACAGAAACACTACGCAAGGGCAGCGTTGACCCCAAACAGCGGCAGCGCCATTCTGACAAGCACGAATTGCATGCCTAGTGCTGACGTTGGTGGTTTTTCGGGTTAGGACGTCGGCAACGCCCATGGCTATGAACGAAGTAAGAAGTGGAACCCCAATGGTGACAACCTGCAGCGGTGATGGGAGTCCACCCACCCACCACCCACCCAACCACCACCCACCCACCATCCATCTACACACCCACCACCCACCCACCACCCACCCACCACCCACCACCCACCCACTCCTCACCCACCACCCACCCACCACTCACCCACCGCCCATCCACCGCCCACCCTCCGCCCACCCATCCACACCGCCCACCACCCCACCACCGCGCACCACCACCGCCCCCCCCCCCCACCCACCAGCCCAACACCCACCCACCACCACCACCCACACCACCCACCACCACCACCCACGCCACCCCCCACCACCCACGCCACCGCACCACCCACCACCCACCCATCACCACGCGCCAACCACCCCACCACCCACCCACCACCACCCAACCACCCACCACCCACCACCACCACGGGCCAACCACCCCGCACACCACCCACCACCCACCAACCCACCACCCACCCACCACCCACCCCACCCACCCACCACCCACCACTCACCACCCACCCACCACCACCACCACCCCCACCTCCCACCTCCCCCCCCCATCCCAGCCAACCCACCCAGCACCCGCCCCCCCGCGCCCACCCACCCACCACCCACCCACCACCCACCCACCACCCACCCACCGTCCAACCACTACCCATCCATGCCGGCACTCCCCTTACACGATTCGTGGCAAATCGGGGGTCCATGGATATATCTATATGTATGTATGTATGTATGTATGTATATATATATATATATATATATATAGGCAACTGCATGCGGCACCCACGCGCGCTTCGGCATGCCCCTCTCACGCTTCGTAGCCCATATGGGAGCTCCACCGACGGCCCCAGTATTGGGGCCTCAGTGCACAGAAGGGCGCGCCCCCCCCTCCCCCCCACGTTTCGTACGTGCTGGGAGTGGGCTGATGGGGCGTTCTGACAGCGCGAGCTCTCGAGTCGCTGGGTGGGCCACAGGAGGTGTCCAAGAGGAAATGTCTGGGGCCTGGGGCTTCTGGGCTAGGATTCTGCGGGGGTGAGGGCCCGGGCCCCATCGATGCATTTCTTGAATGGTATTTCGGAATCCCCCCCTCCCCATCCCACCACCCCTGTTCTCTACAACTTATTGAATCGCTTCGCTCATTCCGCCGGCCCATGCGGTCTCATGTCTGCCGTTTGCCCGAGGGCCTGGTGTCAATGCGGCGCTTTGGGGGTTCCTGGGGCCGCTTGGGGGACTCCTGGGGCGCTCGGGGGGGCTTTTGGGGGGCCTCCTGGGGCCGCTTGGGGGACTCTTGGGGGCCTCCTGAGGGCCTCGTAGGGGCCTCTTGGGGCCTCTTAGGGGCCTCTTGGGGCTTCGTGGGGGCTTCTTAGGGCCGAGGGCGCGAAATTTTGTTTCGTGTTCCCTCTCTGGGGCCCCTTTGGGGGTGTTCTTGGGGCCCTCTTGGACCGTCTTGGAGGCTTCTTGGGCCGTCTTCGAGCCCTCTTGGGCCATCTTGGGGCCCTCTTGGGGGCCTCTTGGGCCCTCTTGGGGCGATCTTGGGGGCCTCTGGGGCCGTCTTGGGGCGTCGGGAACCGAAAAGGTGGAAGCTCCAAAATCTTTCAAAAACCTAAGGAAAACAATGAATTTTGCCTCCGGGGGCCCTCTTGGGAGTGCTATGGGAGGCCTCTTGGGGCGTCTGGGGGCTATCTTGGGCGTCTTGGAGCGATCTTGTGGCATGTCGGACCCCTCGTGTACCATCTTGGGGGCCTCTTGGGGGCCTCTTGGCCTTCTCTTGGGGCTCTCGGGGACGTCTCGGAGCCCAGTTGGTGCGCTCGTGGGGCGCTCCTGGAGCGCTCTGGGGGACTCCTCCCAGGACTCTCTCAGGACCTTGCCGGGGTACTTCTCGTCCGGGGACCCCCAGGGGCCGCCCCGCGCGCGCGAACTAGAGAATTCTTAACCAGTTACCGGAGATCTTAGCACGCCTCTGGCCCGTTGGGCCGGCGAATTTTGCAAAGCGTTGCTGCTCGAAGGTTCGCTACAACCTATGTTGTGCAACTTTGCGGCGCCATCGGGGCCGCCCAGAAAGGGCGCCGCCCTCATCCAAGGGGTAGTTTTTAACGCTGCTCCTCCGCTTCCTCCTTCCACCACCCCTATCCCCACCCCCATCCACGAGTTAGGTTTTAACGTCGTGCCTCTCCCACCGCCCGCGTGCGTTGCCCGCGCCTTTTTCGGCGCAACCTTCGCGCGTTTCGTTGCCCCATAGAGAGCTCCACCGACGGCCCCAATACCATCGCCCCAGTGCGCAGAAGGACACCCCTCCCACGTTTCGCGCATGGTGAGGGGGGATTCACTGGACAAGAGGAGGGGGGGGGGGGGGTCGAGCTGGGCCCGCAGGCGCCGTCAAAGCCCACTTCGGCGCGCCCCTCGCGCGTTTCGTGGCCCCCATAGGGGGCCCCGCCGACGGCGCCAATGACACCGCCCGCATGCCGGGCACACCCCCTCCCACGTCGCATTTCCCGATAGGGAGCGCCAGCCAAGGAGGCATTGGAAACTGCAGCAAGCACAGCTGCATATGGTTTGGCCCTTCCCCTGGATAATAGTTCTTGATTTTGCAGCGCGTCTTGCTGGATCCCTATAGCAGCGTTCGAACGCAAGGCTGTCTTCTGGTATCGATGTTGTTCAATATTGGGCGCGGCCCAGATCCGCCTTCGGATGCGCCCCAGGCGCTTTGATGCCCCGCGCGCATCCCCCCACCCCGAGTTGGTCGCAGCCATTTTGGCTCAACGCCTACGTCGCGAGATCGGCGCCTCGCATTCTCGAAGGCGTTCCAGTGCAACCTCCGCCGCCCGCCAGGGCAGGCATGGGCGGAAGGCGCTGTTGACGCAGATCCAGCACCTAAGAGACAGCGCCTCGGAGCCTCTGCTGCGCAAGATCGCGCGTCGGCCGCGCGCAGTGGCGGTGTCATATTGTGTTTGATTTGCAAGGCGAACGAGAAGGATTCGCCGTTCCCGGCCAACGCTGGTGCGCCAGAGTCTGCGTGCCTTCGGTGCTGCGCCATCTGGATTCCAGCCAGACGCTTCATCACTTTCGCCGAGTACGCTGCCCTGTGCGCCTCGGACGCGGAGCACAAGCAAAACGTCGACACCGCCATCGAGAATTACCCAGACACCCAGGCGCGCGCAGCTGCCATGACGCCAGTCGAAGTGTCGGATTCCAGCTCGAGATTTTCCGCGAGGGCGCGTGGCTCCCCGGCAGCAGGATCAGGGGGGGGACTTCCGACCGCACCGCGAAGCAGCGGAAGATCGGCGAGCCTCTCGAGCTGACGGTCCTTGACGGCAAGGTGCACTCTGGATATATACATATATATACATATATATATATATATATATATATATATATATTCTGACGGGCGGTCCGAGATGCGTGCGAAGATATCCGTTCAAACCAGGGTCGACAGCAAGCGGGTGACCATGCCGCTGGCGGACCAGCTCGCCCAAGGCTCGGCGAGCGCAGCTATCCTTCGCGCCCGTAAGCGCTACACTATTGGCATTCACAACGACACCATCTGCGACTTCTTGGAGAACAGCACCGTGTCCTGGGCAGAGATCAAGGATCGCGGTGCAAAGAATGATGCACTCAGGGCTGCGCGCCGCGCGGGCAGTCGAGACGGTGCCGAGGCTCCTGGCGATGAGGATGGTAATGGTGCAGCTGATGGAGGCGGGGGCGGACGTGGTGGAGGTGGATCGTCAGCGGCATGTTCGATGTTGCCCCCATCTGCCAGCCCCAAGGTCAAGCGCGACCGCGCCCCTCATCGGTCGCCACGGCCTTCGCCGTCTCCTCCGAGGAGCCGCAGATCAAGCGGTGCCTCTGATGGCGGGGGGCACGTCGTACCAGCGCCGCCATCATCAGTGCAAGTGCAGATCTTCTTTGACGGCACCAAGAAGACAGAGATGCCTGGATGTCTCGACGTCAGCCAGAGCAAACGACGCCGAAGTTGACGAGGCCGCAGTGCCTGATTCTGCATCCGTGGTCAGTTGTTCAGCCGCGTCTACTACTGCCGACAGCACTCGTGGTGGTCGTGGCAAATCTGGGGGCATCAGGGCCTCCAAGAACCCCACCTACTGGATCAAGAAGCTCAGCTTCGAGAGCGCGCTGAACGGCGTCACGGGCAAGCGGGACCTGCACCAAGCTTCAGGGTGCGCTTCTAGGTCCGAAGTAAAGTCCAAGGAGGATACGACGAGCGACGCGCTGAGGAGGCACATGGGGCGCGCGACGATCTTCGGTAAGATCAGCCCGACTGAGGTTCCACAGACGGGCTGGCCAGCCAGTCGGGATGCATTTTCGGACCTCGTCTTGATCGACCTCAGCCGTCCTGGAAAAGTGTTTCTGGCTCTCATGGGGAAGAGGGCCAATGAGCTTTCTGTAGCGGCGACTTCGAGCATGTGCATCCGTGAATCTGACATGCAGGATCTCGTGTCTTGCGTTACCCCTTGGCCAATCAAGGGCGATCAGCATGCGCCCACCCAGTGAGGATGGCACCCTGGCTATTTTCGGCGCCCTGCATCCGAAGGCGCACCCGCTTTAGCCAATCGTTCCTGGAAGCCAGCAGGCTGTGCTTCTGAAGGATTTTCGCATCAATAAATTCCCGTGCCGGGTCATCACGACTACCTCAGAGGCAAACGTCAACAGCACCATGGCGGCCTTCACTAATTTGATGGGGTTCTTAGACCTGCCAGATGACGCGGGGATCCCCGCCGAGGTCATGGTGGTCTGTGATTCCATCTACGTCTCGGTTCGAGGATTCGGCTCCCTCGCGAGAATCCAGGCTGGCATCGATACGAAGTTCGAGTACGTGAAGGGCGCGATGGCGCTGCACAGGGCTGCTGAGAAGACAGTCGTGCAGTCGGTGCTGTATGATGTTGGGGCTACTCTGAACAGGAACCCGCTCCTGATCGAGAGGATGGACATCATGGCAAAGTGCTGCGATGAGCACGTGGTTCGCGGGCCCCAGCTGCAAGGGCGCGCGGGGGCTCTCAGACCTGACCGAGCAGTCCGAAGTCGGCGCGGCCATCAATTGTGTAAAGGATGCGCCCGGCTGGAACAACCAGTACTCGGCGGTGCTTCCCTCGTGCGTGTGCGCTGGCCTGGGCGAGGTGGTCCACCACGCGACGAAGCTACTCTACGGAATGCTTACCGATGCCGCGAAGGGCAAGGATGAAGAAGGCGAGTTCTCTGACTTCCTTACGTCGGCGCAAACGCTCTACCAGAACTGCTGGAAGACGTACCCTGAGAAGCCCGAGTGCGACGCGTGCATCGAGGGCTGTGGGCACATGCTGAATTCCAAGATGAATTCAAATCTCACGGTGGCAGTTGCGGAGAAGATCCACAATATCAGCGGGGGCGTCATGAAATCGTTGCCGATGTTGGATGAGTTGTCTGCCATCCTGCGCCAGGAGGCAGGGTTGCTTGATGGTTGCGAGTTGTCTGCCACGGATCCCATGACTGCGATTGCGACCGAGGTATCCCAGGGGCTTGCGCAGCGCTCGTTGGTGGAGGTCTACGGCGTGATTGGGTCCTGCGAGCGGGTCGCTGAGGGCGTGCGCACGCTCTCGACTATCAAGGGGTGTGGCGACAGAGCTCAGGTGCTGGTGAAGCTGTCATCATCTCTCTCGTTTGCCGTCGGCGCGATGAAGCAGGCGAGGCCCGACCCCGACAACCAGTCGCAGCTCGTGGCCACCGAGGTCCTGGAGTTGAACGCCGCGCCCCGCTTGTCTCGCAACGTCAAGGGCCTGCAGGGGTCGCTGAAGGCGTTGGCAGCGATAGACTAGGATGCGGCCGAGGGGTGTGATAAGTTCGCGGGGCTTGCAGGCCGCGTGTTGGTTGACGCGGGGAGCTCGTACTTCTCTGCGGTCAAAGATGGCGCGGCGACGTTGATCTCCGATCCCGGGTCTAAAGCTGCAGCCAAGGTGGGACGCTTTCGTAACCTCGTGCTCGAAGTCCTTGATGAAGTGCGACGTCGCAGAGATCCAGACGTTGCTTCAGAAGGCCGAGGTCGAGCTGGAGAAGCACGCCGAGGGCATCAACGTCTTCGGCAATGACTCCGATGACCCGACGTGGAACGACATGAAGAGTTCGATCGAGGCGGCTTGCATCACCTTGTCCGCCCAGATGCCCATTGAGGCCTACACGACGTCAGGGGCGAAGAAGCCCGCCTTGCGTTCCATCGCGGAGACGGAGATCAGTGCCCGCGCCAAGTGGGCAATTCAGAAGAGTAGCTTGCCAGATATGTGGGTGAAGCGGGTGCAGGCCATCGGCTGATCAAGCATGATGGCCGCGATGGAGTGGCATATTTTTTTTCGTTGCAGCACGCCGTCCCGCGTGCTGCGCCCGCGTCGGCACGATAGTTCATGCCCCCGGCGCCCAACAGACGATTTTGATGTCAAAGGGTTGGCGCGGGAAGGTCGCTTTGCATGCGTGCGAAGCGCGTTCAGCTAAACGTCTTGAATGCGGCGTCCCGCAAAACGCGGACGTCTACGCACTCGTGTCGACTATTCGTTGAGATCGTCGGCAGGCGCCCCGTTCAGGCCATTTGCACCCTGTATAGGGCAAGGGCGCGGGGGCCAACGGGAGGGGCCCGCCCCCCCCATTCCATCTGAGGCTGTTGCGCATGTGGCTCAGTTGTGATTTGAAGTTTGACATCTGATAGGTTTACAACTTGGAGATTATCTCATGTACGCGTGGCTCCGAGGGCGAGCATTTAAACCTATGACGCTGGAAATCCAGAAGCCGTCGGACGTCGTCAAATTTTTGGAGATACAGTATGTGCCTGGGCCAACAGAGCAACTTTATGGCGCTTCAATTTCAGAGTGACACAGTTCGAATGCTTTCAAGCTTCCATCGTTTTCTAAAATGACAAACGTTGAAACTTGTTACAGCCACAAAACCGTTTCAACAGTTTACGGTTTTGACTTCATGTAAGTATGAAGCGTGGAGGTTTCCTATTGTTTGGAGTTTGAGCGCTTGAACATTGAACAGTTTCTACGCGGAGTAGAAGGAAACAGGAGTAACCGACGAACGCTTGTATGTATAATGATTGTTGTAAGTTTTGAAACAGGGGGCGCTCGCGACTTGGTCAATCGTCTTTTCCCGGCAGCAGGTCGGCTCACATAGCTTCGTGACTTTGTCGTTGCGGTCAGAGAGCGTCTACAAGAGCGGAAAAGACGGACCTAGGTAAAATACCATGGCTGCGCAGTAACATTCGTTGTTCGTTCGACCAAGGGTGCTCGCGTAAGTTCAATCATGGTTTCTGGATGCGCGCAGGCGGCGAAAAGGGGTGGGATGGGAAGGTGTTCCATTAATCCGTAGTTGCGTTGCGGCTTCCTCGTGCGTTTTGAAACTAGAGAATTCGCCTTCAGGCGTTCGAACATATGTTCGCTTGGGGTTTGGCAGGGCAAAGGAGGGGGAACAGGAACGGCTGGCGAGAAAACGCGACTATGCCGCAACGGTTCGTCATGTGCGCAGAGCGCGGTCATGGTCCTTTTCCCTCTGCCGATCGCAAGGGTCCCCCATGAACTTTTCCGTGACCCGCGCGGGCCCCCAGGTGTTTCGTCATCCTTCCCCGCGTGTCTCCAGCAACGATCTTCCAAAAGTGCTCCTGGAATTCAACAACCTGGAGGGCGTATGTGGTTTCTCCACTGAGGGGGATCTGCTTTTTCGCCCAGTCCTCGGGGGGCGGGCTATCTGACGACAATCATTGGCACGACGACGCCGACGAGCGTTGCAACGACGACGACGAGCGGTGCGGCGACGACGGCGACAAGTGTCTCGGCGACGACGGGCACGAGCATTGCGATTGCAACGGCGACGACGGTGATGACGACATTGACGAACACTCGGCGGCGGTGGCGACGAGTGCTGCGATGGCGACGGCGACGAACCTTGCGACGACGAAGACGAACGTTACGACGGCGACGGCAGCGACGAGCGTTGCCGAGACGATGGCGAGCGAGACGACGACCACGGCCACGCGGAGAGACGCGATGACGACGCCATTTAGTTCCACGACGACGACGACGAGCGTCACGGCGACGACAGCAAGTAACGTTGCGACCACAACGCCGACGGGCGTTACGACGACGACGACGACGACGACGAGTACTACGGCGACCAATGTGGCGACTATCGCGAGGGCGATGGCGAGCGTTGTGACCACGGTGGAGAGCGTTCCAACGACAAGAGCAACGGGCGTTACGATGATGACGAACATTACGGCGGCGACGACGGCCACGGTCTCTTGGTGCGTTGAATGGCGGTTGTGGTGTAGCGGCGCATTCGTTTTGGGAGTTTTCACCGACGGCATGATTTAGTGGGAGGTTTTCGGAGGAGGAACGGTTGGCGGAAGGAGGATGAGGACGAACATGTGTTGATGGTGGTGCTTCAGAATTCCCGGGGCCTCCCCTGATAAGCACAAAAACCAACGACGATTTTGCGCACGATTTTGCAATGCGATTTTTTTGGGCGACTTGCTTGAGACATCTCGACACAAATATTGTTGGCCAGTATTGTATACGAAATCGTGTTGGATCGGGCACCAGATTGTAACACAAATTCTTCTCTCTGGGTCCAGGCTCTCTTTTCAAAATCGTGGTGGCGGTTCGCGGACCCCGCATTCAAAATCGTAAGGGCGGGTCTTGAAAATCGTAGCCGAAATCGTGGTGGGGGAGTTTGAAAATCGTGGGGACGGATGTTCAAAATCGTAGCCAAAATCGTTGGGGCGGAGGTTGAAAATCGTCGTAGAGGTCACGGTGGAAGGCCACGCCTGCCTGGCCTGACGGCTGGAAAGGTTTGGCCTCAAGTACCTTGCCTTGAGGCCGGAGTTTTCGCTTGAAGTGTCCGGCCTCGCGGCCGGGGCAGTTCAGCCCCGCGGCCTTATACTGTCATGGAGCGGCCAGTCTATGTATATAGTGCCATTGGCGGCGAGGCAGCTCCAAGAAGGCTCCAAGAAGGCCCAAGGGGATCCTGAGCGGGCTCCGGGAGGGCCCGGGAGGCCCCGAGACACGCCCTCGTGGGCCTTAAACGTTCCTAGAGTCCCCCACGGTAGAGGGCTTGAAACGGACGTCTGAGATACTCTACCGCGGGGGCCCCAAGAGGGCGCCAGGAGTGCCACAAGACAGCTCCAGGATGGCCATAAGATGGCCCCAAGAGAGCTCCAAGAGGGCCCCTGAGGCCCCAAGAGGGCCCCAAGGGGGCCTCGAAGGGCCCCCCAAAGCAGTGAAAGTGAAGTCACGCGAGCGCCCTTTCGCGCGACTGAACTTTCACTCACCTTGGGGGCCCTCCGGGGCTTCTTCTGAACCCCCACAGGCATTCCTAGCGGCCCCAGAAAGGCGAATTAGAGCCCCAAGGAGGGTGCCAACAGGCCCCCAAGAGGAATGAAACTTATGTCACGCGAAAAGGGCGCTCGCGTGTCTTCACTTTCACTGCCCTTGGTGGCCCTTCGGGGCCCTCTTAGAGCCCTATTGGGCCTGAGGGTTATCCGGCCTTGTGCGCCACAATCATGCGGCAGCTTTCTGGTGATATGCGCTTGCGCCTCGCAATCGCGACGCGATTCCAAGGAAATGCGAAGTTCCACTGCCCATGCGCGAGCACAGCGATCGTGCGAAACAGTCTCCTCGAACAGTGCTGGCACTTTTTGCATTGCATGTTTCTGATATGCGCTGTAGAAGAATCAAACCAGATTTCGATACATGCGTAGATAACACTTAAAACGTCGAGCTTCGACTCCGACCGCTCCAACACGCAAGCAGCTCTAGTGAGGCAAGCCCCAGGCGGTCCTGAAGAAGGCTTCGGAGGGCCCCCCCTGGGGCCTCGCCGAGTCCCCATCATACAGGCCTAGAGAGCCCAAGAGAGCTTCAAGAGAGCCCGAGAGATCCCCAATACGCCTTCCCACCGTCCAACCCTTGCCTCCCAGTCTCCTCTCCTTGGCTCCCTCCGCCCCTTTCCGGCGCCTTCCCCCCGCCCTCTTCGCTCTCGTTCTTTATGCTCCCATGTGCTTCCCCTGCGGAGGATGGGGGTGTGAGGAGGGCGGGGGTAACTGCAACCGGTCTTCTCGCCGACGCGGAGCATGTGCAGGCAATTCCCGTGGTGGGGGCGCTCCTGGCTGGCGATCGCCCTCGTCGTCTTCCGTTTTGCCCGTGCTCTTTGCATACTGCGTGGACATGCCAAAACAAAATCTGTATAGCTTCAAGCAAGCAGCGAAACCAGTTAGGAGAAACTGCAGGTCCAGTCACCCACGCAGGCTCGACTCGATGATTCGATTTGTTTAAATCGAATAATTTATGTGCGCGGCGGCTGTGTTAAGGTGCGTTTAATTTCGTTGCTTAGGGCGTTGACCCCAGGGTGTGTGCAAATCGTCCGTTCCTTTTAGGAGCTCGCCAGAATTTTATCTGACCTCCTCGGCCCCACCTCGTGGCGGTCAGCGTCGCTCCCCCTTTCTCCGCCAACCCTTGCTGCGCCCATCTCTCCCGTGATGTTTCTTCCGACCGTGCCCGCGTCATCGCCTCTGATTTGGAGTCACGAAGTGTTTTATAGAAAACGATGCTTTCATGAAAAAAGTGAGGTCAAAATCGTGGCAGGGTTTGTTGGGGCACCGGGGCCACGACGATAGTGGAGAGCTGCAGCGGCTCTCCAGGGAGGTGTGTGCAGTGTGCACAACGTCGCCACTTGTCGTGGTCCGTCGTTAGAGATAGAGGGGCGATCGCCCACATGCCACCCGCGTTCGACCTGTCATGTGGTTTGTTTATATCTGGCGTGTTTGTTGATGTGCGCTGTATGCGTCCAGTTGCCAGCATCCAAGTCGCGCTTCGCGTGTAACCAACGCCCAGAGACATCCCCCACCGCCCCCCTGTGGAAAATAATCTCCGCGTGCCCCTCTTCAGCCTATCCAGCGACGATGCCCAATTGGGTTGTCTTGGTCATGGGCGCGGGGTGGCCCGCAGATGAATGCAGGGCTGGCGAAGCCGCCGTGCCAGACAAGGGGATTGATAATACACCAGAAGGTGGCCGTATGAGTGAGTACGACAACGATGCGGAGAAGAGCTGGTGCCCCCCAGGGTCTCTTGGACCGTCTTGGGCGCCGCAGCTGGGCCTCTTGGTGTGGTCATCGTTGGGGCCTCTCGGGGGGAGGGGGCGTGGGGTTCGCGGCTAGGTGGCCTTCGGTCGTCTTGAGGCCATCCGCGGGGAGATCTATCAACGAACT